AAAAAGAAATCAAAATTGTACATGAAAGTTGTTCCATATCTTGGTCTAATTATCCTTATGATGAGTTTAGAAACTTGCAAGAAAGACAATCAAATAATGTATTAATAAAGTTTGGTCTTAAGAATAAAAACATGGTATATAGATACCAATGCATAACAAGGTATGCTAAAACTTAGCATATCCAAATGATATTATGAAATCTATTTAGTTTAAGAGCATTCTTATTAAGATATGAGATCTAAATGAAGATTGCTTGCAACTAAATATTCAATTGATTATCTATGAGAATTCAAATGAGATTATTAAGTGAACAAGATTATGTAAGAGACAAAATATGGTCTAATATGCCCGAATGGCTAAATAGCCCTAAAAACCTTGAAATGGATTTCAAAAGGGTAATTGTAAAACAAGCATCTATAAGATGACTAGTTTTATGTTTACAAAATACATGACTTAGAGAAAAACATGTACATTCAAAAGTTGTTTTGAAAGTATCTCTCAAAGAAAGTAAAAGGGTTTACTTTTGGAAGACTTTCAATACATGATAGAAATAGTGGGAGCTTAATGACACTTTAAATGTTAAAGGTCATATGTAAATTTGAAAATTCATCTTTGATGCATTTGATGCATGAAGACACAAAGATTCAATGATTTAGTAGGATGTATAGTGACGCATTACTTATATGAGTTGAATCTACTAAATAAAACAATATTAGGCATTGGAATATGATATCCAGTTATGATAAAGATGTTCAAATGATTTGAATATGTCAAAAAGATGAGTAATCATTTGTGCATACATAAAGGTTAGTAGGAGTAATAAGTTATTCATAACATTGTATATGAGATACATCAATGATAAAATCATGAATCAATACTTAAGTTAAATTCTATTGGATTTATCAACTAATAATTAGACTAGTTGTTAATGGTGTTTAACATGGAATCTGAAATAGCAAATGACATAAAGACATGATGTGTAAAGAGCATCATTTGGAAGTGTTCCAAACTTGAGATGACAGTATATTTTATAACCTAAGTCAAATACAAACATTTTATTTAAGGTTACAAAATGAGAGATATTTGAATCATTAGCTTACTGAGCTAATAAAGGATTCTTATATTCGTTAAAGTAATAATAAAAGCCATGTAAAGTGGAATCTAGGTCTCATTGTGATATGAATAAGTCTTATGATTGATAATAAAGATTAATCAAGCATATAACTGTTAGTATTTACCCTTCAAGTTGAATCATAGTTTGGCTAAGATATTATTATATTTGTAGTATTTTGATATTTGATATCTTATAAAAGTCTTAATTTTTTTTATCATTGAGCTTGTATGTATATGTTTCAATGTTGATACTTATATGATAAAGTTATCAAAATATAAATAAAGCTTGGCAAGGAATTACAATGAAATTGTAATTATGAGATCATCATTGTATAAAAGCTATATGTTCTAAAATTATTCCTATGCAATGCTTTATCAATAAGAGGACATTGACAAAAACTGTTGAGATTAACACATGGTTATGCTCTTGCTTATGAAGCAAGAAACTGATCTCATAAGTTGAAGTTTGGGTAAACTTGAGCTAACATGTGAGTGCTTGTTATAAGAACAAGTTCACAAAATATGACCCGATATAAGAATGCTATATAATAGTTCAAACGGTATCTATAGCTACATTCTTATGTGATAGTTGTATAAGTGATCTTTTGACTTGAGATTGCTTATGATCTTATATGATGAATGTTATACTTTGACTTTACTTATGGTTCTAACCAAGAATATTTTAGTCAGGTATTGTTGGGTATAACATGAAGCATATGAAGATGCATAAAGGGGATTTTATCACCTTATGTGATTAAGATAGTATCTCAACTAGTCTTGAATGAATTAACTTGAAAAATCTTTGGCCAAAGTGAAATAAGATTTTAGAATTGTTCTAAAACTTATTTGAGAGTTAATGTCAAGGACAAGACTTAACATGGTTGAACAAGATTAAGTAGATATTAAACCATACTCAATGTTCAAACCTAGATACTATGTGATGAAAGGATATTAATTATATATAAAGACCATTCATGGATAGGTTGTTAAGCCATATTGACTTTTCTTTAGCAATTACGGATCATGAAAATGAAGCTAGCATTGATCATGATCTATAAACATAAGATTGGTTAATTAGAGAATTGGTGATGAAGACAAAAGGTTTGTTTCATCCATAGCCAATACTAACATGTTAAAGAACCTAAAGGGTCACAACAATGGGACAATTGTGAAAGATTAAAATTGGGACAAATTAAGTTAGACTTAATTTGATTTTGGTATGATCAAAAATAGAAAAAAATAAAAAACAAGAGAAAGAGTTTTCTTTGTTTGGTACATTCGACTAGCATAGGGTTAATTGTGAAAATTTGTATTCCAAGCATTAAACCTAATGTGGCTGAATGCTTCCTTTATAAAAAGAACATCAAGCTATCCCCTCTTGTAAGAGTAACCAACCAAGCATCTAGAGATCACTCAAGAAAATACAAAAGGTCTTGCAAATACTTACTAGCTATAGTGTGACTTTGAGTTTTGCCAAACCTTAGAAAAAGGTTCTTTCACAAAAGTTCATGTGAATCACCATTAGAGGTTAAACACTTAGGCAGCTTCTTGGCTTAGAATAGAATCTATTTGAAAGATCAAAATATCACCAAATTGAACCAAGGGATTTTTGACATTCAAGGTAACATTTTTAACCAAAACTATTCATGTTTGTATATATATGTTGTTTGTATAACCTTATTGATTGATCCTAGCTTTAGGGAATTAATGTTTTTCAAAAATTCTACTGTTTTAATTCTTATAGTGATACTTAATTCCCTTCAATAACCAAACACATTCTCACAAGATGCCTTGGAGTTATGTCTTAGTATAGACAAAGTTGCTATACGAAAGAGTTCAATATTAGGATACTATTAGCTCAAGTGTAGATAACAATTTCAAGAGGAGATGAATTGGATTTGTCTCCAAATATTTCTCGAAATTGAATATTAATCAAATTGAATGAAAAGTTAAAATCAATAAAATATTCAAAGAAAATTTAATGAAATAAATAATTAATGAACTTGAAACAAATATAAACAACAATGAAAAATAAAATGGTAAGGATAGAGAAATCAAAAATAAGAATTTATAAAGGTTCGGTCTTTTTCCAAATTACCTATGTCCTGTCCTTTAGATATCTTAGCCAAGTACAATCCACTATATCTTAAGTCTTACAAATAGCCTATCGAAGGCTAAGAGTACAATAAACCAAAAACCTTTAAAGGGCATTTGGTTATGGACAAAGTAAGATTCTTATCAGAATCTTACTTTTTATAATTTGATTTCCTAGTTTGGTTCACGAAATGTGATTCTTGATATTTTCTAAAATTTTCAATAGTGTCAAAATGGGAAAATGTAGGGAAAATCAACAATTCTTTTTTCCTTGAGGCTTTTTAGATTTCGGAGGAAAAGTAAAAATTTTGTCTCATTTATCCTCACTTAATTGCATCTTTAGACTATATTATCCTTTTTAGTCTCTTAAAATTACAAAGTAAATGTGATTTTTGTTATTTGCAATTTCAACAAGTATTGCTATTTTAGGATAAAAATCGTAGTAGATGTTGAAATTATATTTTCAAAATTCTTAAATTTTAACAAAGATCATGTTTTTAATATAAAAAGATAGTGGATATTGAAACTTTATTTTTGAAATTTTTTAAATTTAATAAAAACTATGTTTTTTTTAGTTAAAAAGACATGGTGGATATTGAAACTATATTTTTAAAAGTATAAAATTTTAACAAAGATTATGTTTTTAAGATAAAGACTACAGTGGATATTGAAATTTTATTTTCAAAATTTTGAAATTTTAATAAAGACCACATTTCTAAGATAAAAAATATAGTGGATGTTGAAACTATATTTGCAAAATTTTGGAATCTTAACAAATATCATATTTTTTAGATAAAAACGTAGTAAATGTTAAAAAAGACCACTTTTTAAGATTAAAACCTAGTAGATGCTAGAATTGTATTTTCAAAATTATGAAATTTTAGCAAAGATTATGTTTTTAAGATAAAAAACAAAGTAAAAATTGAAACTTTAATTTTGAAAATTTGAAAACTTGACAAATATTGTGTTTTTAAAATAAAAAGCATAGTGGTTGTTGAACATTTATTTTTGAAATTCAAATATTTTAAGAAAAACCACATTTTAAATATAAAAATGTAGTGGATATTGAAACTATATTTTCGCAATTCTCGAATGTTAACAAAAATCATATTTTAAAAAAAAAAGGTAACAGATGTTGAAAAAGACCATATTTTTAAGATAAAAATGTAATGGGTGTTGAAACTTATTTTTAAAATTTTACAATTTTAACAAAAATTATGTTTTTAAAATAAAAAATTTAGTGGATGTTGAAATAATATTTTCAAAATTCTAAAATTTTAACAAAGGTCAAGTTTTTAAGTCCTTGTTGCTACTCATAACAAAATTAAAATAAAATGTAAAATATGTTTACTTAATATTATTATATATAAAATCTAAATTAGATTTTTTTAATATGAATAAAATGTAGTGGATATTTATTCGCATATTTTCTTAATATGACAAGTTTATTAGGGTAAAAGAGCACCCGTGGAAAAGAATTTGGATTCTCACAAGCAACACAAAACAGCTAGCAAACATTTAACCCAACCATCAAAGAATTCTCTCCGGATTTCCTTTTCTTTTGCTTGCATTGGAAAGAGAAAGCCAATAACCGCCATATTGGCTTCTGAAATCCTTTAATATGCCCTTTCATGGATTTGCAAAAACACTTCTCCTTTCATTTGGTGAAGCCATCATGAAATCATAATGGTTAGTAATAGGTAGAACTTGTGGCCTTTAGCTAATACCATGAAAATCTATCTCTATATGGGAGCATCCATCATGTTTGGTTGTAGCTATACTTCCAAACATATTTAGCACACATGGCTGAAATGAGGGGGACTAGAATATGTTGCAGCAACTCCAAAACAAGATCCCATCTCCAACACTTTGCACTGTTCTACAACCAAGATGCAAGTGGATAAAACCTCACTGTACGAGAAGCAATCACTGATGCCTCTGCTGCTAGTGCCGTAAGGGTAAGTACATTGGGCAGTGGATTTACCAGCTCTTTTCCAGTTGTGATGCATAAAAACATCTTCAGCATGCTTGAGCTCCTTCTACAAATCTGATCCATTTCTAAGATCAAGAATATCCCCAAATTTAAGCTTTTGTTTCCTTGACTCCCGTTTGTATCTATTATCTTTATATATTTCCAGCACCATCCCTGATGCTATTGCCAAAACAGTGTTAAACTTTGCCTTAACGAAAAAATTTCTGAAGATGCAAGGATGACAACCACCCTACTAACTTGAGCAGTCTTTATAGTTGCAGTTACAATTTAACCAAGTCCATAAAAAGCCATAGGAGATGAAGCTGGCTATCAAACTTTCCCTACGAAATCCTCCTCAAATATCTACCTTAGCAACACAATGGTGGCATCCAAGTGAGCAAAAGGTGTTGCAGTGGTTGGCTTTGTCAAATCATTAGCAAACACGTAAACAGCTCGCACGAAAGTGGTAATACTCTCTTGAAGACCTTCGAGATCAGTAACTACTAAAACTTTACCATAATATGCCTTTCCTTCACTCGTTGCCTTAATCAAAGTATAAGCACAAGTATCAAAGTTAAATACTACAACACCATTACTTCTTAGTCCCATAACCAAGAGCCTAGCCAAACCTTTAGAGATTAAGGACAGTGACAAGCTTATTCCCAATCACAAACATCATTGAATGACTCAATTCAAGTTTTCGACAAGCATTGACAGCCCTAAAAAAGAATGGCTTAGCCACATTTCTAGCGTGTACAACCCAAATAGACCTAAACCTATTCCACTCACCAAAGGGATGGACGAATATCCGCAAAATTGTTTGGAGATGAGTCAACATGTCCAGTGTTTGTTTTTCTTAGTGGCTGTCAATTTACTCTAATTGGATTAGGGTTAGTAGCCCAAAGCCACAAAGTTTTGGCTATTAACCCCTCTTCCTAAATGATTTAGGAGTTTATTGGTTTGTAAATCAAGTTGTTGCAGATCATTAAACTTGGATTTCATGGCTGCCAATTTGGTTTCTTGATCACCAAGATCCAAATTTTGCAACTTGGTAATTAATGTTTAGGGTAGACCTAATTTGATTTAGGAGTTGAGATAACATAATAATCAAGACTATAGGTTTAGTTAACTTGATCATCAAGGTGTTTGTGATTTCTAACTTGATAATTAAAGTTGCTAATTTGAAAAACTTGTTATACAAGGTTTGAAAAATCTGCATTCTTGATAAACAAGAAACATGGGCTGTTTCTATTTGAATTGTAGTTTTAAAACTTTGTGACCGCAAAACATGATTTAGGGGCATTAGGGGCTGCCTTGAGGGGTTGCTATGGTCGACTAATGGGCTGGTATTAGATGCCAAACCGTGGTTGCCGTTGAATTTGTCCAAAGGACAGATAAACTTTTTCCTTCGAAACTTGTCCTAATTATTTGTCTTCACGACAGGAGTAGAATCTCGCTCGAATAACCAAATTAGAATCACAAAATTTAGAATGATTCTTTCTGACTACGCAATGAAAACACCACACAAAAATAATTTTATCTATCTGAGTAGTTATCAACCGATAAACTCAATTCACAATTTAATTGAACAAAAGCCCTCATAAATTACACAATTTTTATTTAATCCAGTTGGGTTCCACAGACAATCTTCGAGCCACATTCAAAGCCTGACGCACAGTCACACAAAGTCTCACTCAATTTCTTTGGACCTCATTCTCATATATAGTCTTACTCACCTTTCTCAAAACCTATACAAAAAAACATATTTATAGCAGAACTCTAAAACCTTAAAAATTAATCATTAAGATAACTGCTAATAGAATGTTAAATTGTAACTACAATAAATAATAACACTAGAAAAATAATATTGCTGAAAAAAATGATGCTGGGTTTAATTGCCAAAAGAATATGTAATTAATAATAATTATTATTATTATATCAATGAAACTTCGATAGTACATTAATGAAAGTCGAGTTCAAAAGTTCAAATGCAAACAAAATATGTTTGCTGTTCCTCTCCAGCACTTTTTGTAGTTAGAAATTGTTTGTGGATTAACATTAATCTCTATAGTAAAGGCTACAAGCATATTGATGAGAAAAAGTTTTTATTGAGTTGCGTTGACGGTTTTTCTGGGCGTCTTATCTCAAAGAAGTTGGTGAGAGATTGATGGTGAAATGGCCTAAACCTGCAGTCAGAAACACAATCAAGGGGCGCCAGAGTTCATGAAGAGAGATGACGTGGTAACTGGGCGTGCGCTATGTGTGTGCCCAATAGATTAATCATATTAGCCGAGTAAATAGACGTAACAAGTTGCAAATAAACCTGATCTTAGTTTTGTTCTCCAAAGGCAAAACAAAGTTCGAAGGTGCAAGACCAATAATTAGTTTTTTAAACATACAAGTAGAGGGCAGCAGTAGTCAGAAATGGTGGTGGGGATCTGGTCCACCTGGCGATACTCTATCAGAACCTGGTCCACGTGTTGACATCTTTCGATAATGTTTGACTTTGAGGAGATCAAAACCTAACTCCTGTAAAAGAAGCTGGCTCTCGCTATTCCTTTCCATGGCCCTCCCTCTCTGGAGAATACGTGCCTGGGAACTCATGGACATGGAAAGCATCAAGGACAGGATAAGAAATACCGTGAAAACTGAGGCACCACTCGAATATTTGGCCATATGTAGTAGCAGAGGAAGGAAATTGGAAGATTAATGGATTAATTATATTGTAGCTTGCATGAATGCATGGCGTCAAAAATTTCAATTTATAAGGTCAGTTCGATAAACACAAGTTTGAAAGCACGTTGGGTTAAGGTTAGTGGAGAGAACATGTAGGCCGACAAAGAGGGCTGATATCTGTGTTTTATGTGCCGCCTTCCATTACCTTTAACGTTCACGCTCTTTTGATATCGGATTTTCTTAGTCATCTCTTGTTTTTTATAGCTTTGATTTGATAATTACGCCTAGCTAGTGCTAGTGTTCTTTCTGAATCATAATTTAAGGAGATTACCAATTAAACTGAAAGTTACAGGACATTAAAATTAAGAAAAACAAAAGAAAAGAACACCTCAATACATATGCCAAATGCCTGATTGTCTTCGCCACAAATGCCAAAGTCCGATTGTCTTTGCTTCTTTGTTTTATTGACATAATTTTTCTCATTAATTTTCGCCAAATGCTGCTCACATAGCTATGTTTGGATGATTATCAGTCCACATGATCGTGAAAAAAACAACTATATCCTAATAGTATCTGCTCATTCTTTGGTTCAATATCTTATATAAATATGATATCCAATTAACCTTTTGTTGCATTCCAAGTTTGAGGTATCCATCAATCATATCCTAAACTTTTTAAAGATGTTTGGACATTGCCAAATTATAATTATTATATAGAAACAAATAATGTCTTTGTGCTAAAGATGGTTTTTCTTCCATGATTCTCTTTCTCTGTCTGTTGTTTATCTGTTTTGGGTTAATGTATACAAGTTCTATCCTAGCTAGCTTCCATTTGTATGAATGTAGGCTTTAGACAAGCGTCGTCGAGGAATTTATTATATAATGAAAATGCTGGGGTCAGTTTTTCACTTTACCAAAAACGGTAGTTAAGCAGAAAATCTAATGGAAATCCTATGCAAAATCTACTAGATAGCTAGGTGTCGGACCTGTTGTCAATTGTTTTAACGATTATCTAAAGACAAAGCAGTTGCAAATGAAGATATATATGTTTCGTACTTTTCCTAGTCGTTATAACCTTATAGATAATCAATAGATACACATATGAAGAAATTATTCTTCTCCAAATGCTAATGTATCATTTCTCAACCTTAATGGGGGCACCATCATACTAGGTTTAGGCCTCGAGAATTCTCTTTAACTTCTGTTTAACAATTTAAGGATAAATTAACAAGATATTCTATAATGCAGCAGCGGTCCCTAATTTTAAATTTAAATGAATCCATGGATTAACTTTGTTTCATGTTGATTGCCTCAAGTTTGTAATAAATAAGTCGTGGCTCCACGTAATGGGTTGATCGAATTAGGTTTGATGTATGAATTAGATCTACTCTATAATGATCTTCATGTGATAAATTAGAGAAAGACTTTCAAAAGGAAGCCCATATGCCATGGTGTCATGCCATGCTTCAAGTTATTGCATAATTAAAGCAAATGCTACGGCCAATTAAAGGGGCTGTTTTGGCATACCACGCCCGCTTCTAGTTATTTTACATCTAATTCCCCTGGTAGGATTGCTCAACTTTTTCTTGTGAAAGATACCTTTTCACATCTAACAAAAATATATAAATATTTTATCTCCAAGACTTGATATATAGTTATCAATGAGTACACTAATTCAATTTGAAAATTTTAAGTTTTTAAACATTTTTGGGGTGTGAAATGAGTTTTATGAGATTGAAGGAATACCTATGATCATATGGTTGAATATCTGATGATGAACTTCCAATTGTAGACAAAAAAAAAAAAAAACAGAGAAAAAGGATTGTTACCAACATTTACTCAAAAGCAAGAAATTTCACATTTAAATATGATTATTGCATGCAATGTCTAAAGCCCTTAGTTTTACGACTTAGTTGAAGCAATGAATAAGTTGCAACAAAGGGTGTGTATGTGGTGAGATTGTTGATATGTAAATGCGTGCCTAGTTGTGTGTGAGATTGAAATAAATATATAGTGTGGTTTAATCAGTATAATTTTGCAAAGACAAGAAAGTTGGTGCAATTAAAAGAGAAATCACTGTTAATAAAGTTAAAATTGAGTATGTTTTATAATGTTACAATATATTTGACATTTAAAAATGCTAGAAAATTATGAAGGTAATCACAAATTTTTTGTACATCAAAACATGGTAATAAGTATATTTAGTAATGTAATATTTAAACACATTTATAGGTAAAAGAGTAAGTATTTTCGGATATATTACATATTATTATTTTCTTAATTACTTAGATATTTATGTATTTAAGTAATGAATTATGAACATATTTTTTTATTTCTTACTTACAATTTTATTTGATTACATAACTAAATATATAGTTAGTCATTTAATTGTGTTATTGCTATTTACTCATATATTTATTTATTTAGTTATAAATTTATTCTATTTTTTATATTTAAGTCATTTATCTGTTCAAAAACTGCACATTTTATTATCTACATGTTTATTTATCTACTATATAATTTCATATATTTATTTTCTAAATCAAACAAATTAAAATTTTTAAAAAAATTTAAACGAATTAGTGAACACTTAAAAAATGAGAAGAACAATACCCAAAGCAAATGGGTAAAGGTAAGGAGAGATTAACTTCATATTCGGGTCACACCGAGCTCAAATCTTCTTATGTTAGGATTATTTTAGGCTTCAGTCGACTTTATTGATTTGAATTCATTTTACGTTCGGATCACTCCACATCCAATTGTAATGAATTCTATCCATCTCAGATTTTCATTTTGAGCACCAACTGCAAGGGGTTTCGGACTATTTTGATTTTCATGTAACCATGTTTCATAAATTACGATGAGATTAATGTTTTACTTTTTTATGATGATTGATGCTAATATTATACATGAATTAAATAAGTTTAAAACAATTTATTTCTCTTAGTTTCATTAACCTTATTTTTATATCTTATATAAATATATAAAAGTCAAAACTTTTGACAAAAATGAAAAATATTCTATGTTGATGTTCTATTTTTTTGACACGTGTACAATATGAATAATACATGTGTCATCTAATAAATGCATTTTATTTTATTTGATTAGACACATTTTTAATTTTAAAAAATCAATATACTTATTTGATTTGATTCATTTTTAATGCAAAAAAAGGAAATTTATTTCATTGAGATTATTGTATTTATTTTCTTTTAAATATTCATTGCTCTTACCTTATACAAATAAAGTCAATTTAATTTGTAATCAAAGTTAATTGTTATTTATCTTAAATCACTCTCAATTAAATTTTATTTTTAATTTTTCACACCAACTTTAACATTATAAATAGGAATATATTTTTATCCATTGGAAATAATAGTATTGGACGTTTGTGTTATAGTTCTATAATATTCTGTTTCTCTTTTTTCATTTTTTTATTTGTTCCATTGATTTGTTTCTTTTTGCTTCCATTGTTTTCTTCCTCTTTGTTTGAAAGTGTGGTTTCTTTTATTGTTTTTTAATATTAAAATTCGCTTTTTAGCCAAAAAAAAAAAAAACTAATTTGCTTTTAGTCTTCATAACAATATTAGTATAATATACAAATATGTTGATATGTCTTGGAAATTAACATAAATATTTTATACATAATATAAAATAGCTTGCTTTATTTTATCTTTATTTTTAATTTTTATTTCATTCACAATATAAAATGGCTTGCTTTATTTAATCTTTACATTTAATTTTTAGTTAATATTTTAATGAAGTAATTTATAATTTTTATATGCAAATGTATATGTATGCTATGTGATTAATATTGAATACAAAGTTTTACAAGCACTTCTGGTTAGTAATAAATTGTTGCCAAGAACATCTCTAGTCTTAAATGCCATAATGAAAGATCACCGCCATGAAGAAAGTAGGATATGGTACATAAGAGAATGTCCAAACAAATATAGATGGCATATACTAATTAGCTTGCATGTGATTAACAATTTCTAAATTTCAATTGCTCTAATATCAAATAAAATTCAATCATCTTATAAATATAAATGAAAACAAAATTTTAAATCGTATTTGAAAAAAAGTGCAATCAAAATAGAAAATAAAGGGTAAGCCGCAAGGTTAACCATCATGTTTATTGTCTTCGCATAATGATATTAATATGTAGGATAAACTATTTTTATTAAACCCTTAAAAAAAACCTATTTTTGTAAAAGGGCCTACATATCTCAATGATTGTAGGTGAAAATTGAATTTTCAAATTTTAAATTTCATTATTTTAATTATATTTATATTGGATTTTAAAGAAAGATATTTGACCTCACAATTTTTTCTAACTTTTCAACTAAATAAATGCTCACATTTACGATGTAATAGCTAGATATATATAATTTTTATGTACTAAAAATGGTGGTGTAAATTAGAAAATGCCTTTATTTATAATTGAACTTGAAAAATAAACTCTTTCTTTGTAGAAAAAGGTTAAAGAAAAGAGACTGAATTGTCTAATTAATCTAATTAAAAATTAAATTCAATTAAGGGTGATTTAAAGAACTTTGAATAGTAACTTATTGAAGGTAATTTAATATGTTAATTGGTTATTTATAAATGAATAAATGTAATTAATTTAGTTAAAATATTTATTTAAGGTAATTTGATATGTGAAAGCTTTGGCTTTTATATATCTTATATATAAATATATAAAAGCCAAAGTCTTTGACAAGAAAAGAAAATGTCCAATATAGATGGTTTATATTATTGATAAGTGAACAGTTTTAAAAAATGACATGTGTCCTCTAATAAATATATTTTATTTTATTTGATACATTTTTAATTTAAAAATAATTTTAAAAACTAAATTAATTACATTTATTTTTTATTGTTTACCTTAAATCACACTCATTAAATGCATATGAAAGATATTAAAACTTTGATTGCCATTATTAATAATAAAATAATTTTATTTTTTTTTCAATTATAAAGATTTAACTCTTGAATTAT